TGGTATTATCCCAAAAAAAAAAAAATTGGAAAAAAAAAAAAACAAAATAAACAAAAAAAAAAAAAAAAAAAAAAAAAAAAAAAAAAAAAAAAAAAATTCAAATCATAACACCGCATCAACAATGATGATGATGATGCACTGTGAATATTTTATATATTTTCTCCTTCATCATCATCATCCGCATCCATATCACATCGTCGTAAAAAAAAATTTTTTTTGTTTACCGCTGAATGTTTGTTTGTTTCATGGCATGTGGCCATGATGTGTGTCATTTTTATTTTTTTTTTCTACATACGTTTACTTTTCCCAAAAAAAAATGAATTATGGATCCTTTTTGGAAATTTTTTTGAAAATTTCATCATCATTTTACTCGTTAAATGATTGTTGGTGGTGGTTTTTTTGTGAATTTTTTTTCATTTTTTGGATTTAAATTTTTTTTTTGTTTTTTTTATGACTTTAACAGAAAAAAACAAACATATTTTTATGATGTTTTTTTTGTTGAAGGATATAGATCATCGATGGATGGATGGATGAACAGAAACGATGAGGCGACATTTTTTTATTCATCCATCGATGATAATAATCATTGGTTGAATCGACCATCATCATCATCATTATTTTTCAGTGGTCCATCATAATCATCATCATTATCGGGTCATTGATATTCTTGTATGTTTGAGGATCGGTATTTAAGGTTTTTTAAGAGATTTTTTTTTCTTTTGGTTATTTGGATAAACCCGGTCATAAAAAAATGACAGAATTTAAAAAAAAAAAAACATTGTCAATCGTAAATCAAATTGTTATTAGGTTTTTTTTATTATTAATAATTTTTTTCCAACGAAACCAGCGAATGATGATAATAAATTTTTCTTGAAAATTTCTTTTTCCTTTAGCTTTTTTGCTAAAAAACAAACCCCAAGTTCAAAAATTCTCTCTACAGACAAACAAACAAGCAGAAAAGAATCATTAAAAATATGGCAATAATGATCCATACTGAGCACGAAAGTATAAGAAAAAAACGAATGTTTTATGATTGGTCATCATCATTTGTTGATGATGATTATTTCATAGATCTGCTGCAATGTGAATGAATATACATGGTTGACGACGCCTTTGAAAATTTTTGTCATCAAACAAAATAATCATTATGTCTATAATCATGCTAGGGTGTTTTTTCTTTTCCATTTTTGTTGTTGCTTTGTTCATATATATAGGTGTTATATGTGATGATAATCAATGGTTTTCGGGAAAAATTTTTTTTTATTTCCATCAATATTTATAGGAAATTTTCCTGATCCGGACTGTTAAGAAACAGAAATTCGAAATTCGAACTTGTTTGATCGTAACGACTGTATAATCGAAAATGTTAAAATTTCTTTCTATTTATTCGATGATTGTAGCTAACAAGAAATAAACTATTCGATTTTTTCAAAAAACTAATTCACGTGTTCGCTAGATTTTTTTTGCATTTGTTTTAGTTTTTTCACACCGGACCAAAAAAAAAAACGGATGATGAAAATCAATTTTATAAAATCAAAAAAATTTTCATTTTTTTTTCTCATCATCAATGCTTCAATCCTTATCTGATTGATTGATTGAATTTTTTCTTCATCTTCTTCTTCTCAATATATCCTATCCTGCCAACGAACAAAAAAAAAAGAGATTTTTAGTAGATTTTTCTTCCACTTCTCACATCTTTTCTTGTTAACTGACTGACTTCAATTGATTGATTGATTGATTGATTGAGTGCTAGAATGTTGATGTTTTCAGCAAAAAAAAGATTACATATCTCATCTCGCGTACGTGTGTGTGTGTATGTATAGTGTGAATTTTTCTCCTGATTTACATTCATTCATTCATTCATTTTTTATCAACAAACGAAAATATAAAATCCAAAATCAGATCATCATCATTCATAAATAAAATGTGTATAAGCAGAGATATTAGACATTGATTGAATGTTTATCGTAAGGGACTACGAAGAAAATTGCTTGAAAAGAAAGAAAAAATGATGATAATGGTGAAAAAAAAAGTAAACCCTATATATATGAAAAAAAAGTGTGAATGATTCATCATAATCATCATCATTG